CATTTCTCAGAACATCGTAGAACACCAAATGTCTAGTTTTATTACAGCGAATCCCTAGCAGCACCTGCTGCCAGGTGTCAGGAGTGTCAGGGGTGTCAGGGGTGTCTGGGGCAGAAGCTTGCTGTGATGGAGCACCTGCACTTGCTCGGAGAGCTTGGAGACTCCCAATCTCTATCTTCGAGGTTGAGCTCACGTCCAGCATACCGACCTGTGCTTTTCAATGCGAATCCAAACGCAAATTTGCTGTAAAAATGTCTCATTGTCTCTGATCGTTTCTGATCGTTTCTGATGCTGGAAAACTGTAGCGCAATATTCGTTATAGTCACTGAAAGTTTCACGCGCTGCAGCCGAGAATCCTTCCCTTGGCTGACCCCCTTCAGTGGCGTGGGTCCTTTCGCTGCCCCTTCGTTGGGTGACTTCTCAGGCGAACTAGCAGGTTTGGGAGATTCCGCCGGTTTGGGCAATTCAGATTTGGGAGACTCCGGCCTTGGAGAAAATGCTTTGGAAGCAGAAGCTTCACTTGGCTTGGGCGATTGCGACAAATCCGAGCCCGGTTCAGAAGGCTTTGCAGTGTTTGCTTTCAGCAAGTCGAGCTGTGTGTTATCGGATAAAGGACGAGGCTGGATGTCCACAGGTGCATTTTCCTTGTCAGTGCTTCCAACTCCAGAAAAGCCTTGGCTGACAAAGCTCAAGAAAAAACCATCTTCCAGTCTGTAAAGAGCAGCTGAAAGAATTCTCTCAGAGTCACAAAGGGTTTGCTTTGCTTCAGCACTGCAAAGCAACAAACATGTCATCATTGGCACTGCCCACGGATCAATATGTAGTATTTAAGAGTACCGGTACTGTGCACATGCATCACATGCGCTACGTCAGTGAGTTGTGACGATAGGTGCAAGATGGTACAAGGGCATACCGGCCTACCCCTGTAGTCCAAACCCGGCGGCGAATACTCCAAAACCTCAACAAATGTGGAACAAGTCTGGCCGAAGCAACGGCTGCGTCGGGGTTGCATGGCTTGGCCAGGGCTTGTGACCCCATCCAAAACAGTCTCCGGCAAATCCTCAACTCCCACCTTGGTTGCATGAAACGCCATTGACATCAACGTGTTAGGCAACTTGAGAGGGGGAACACGAAAAGTAGGTGATCAAGAAGGGGAAGCAAAGCCTCTCTGTATAAAAGTTGGCTGTGTATAGCACCAACTCAAGGTAGCAAAACTCAAGGTAGCACCACTGGAGTGACATGTTCTTTCAAGATCTTTCAACTATCCTCAAAAAAAATCAAGTGTTTGTGCAGGGGGGCAGAAAAAGCAAGTATCCAGGCGCCAACCCGTCACTCAAAATCGAGCAGAAATTCCTGAAATCTCCTTTCAGAATGTTGGCATTTGAAAAGGAACAAGCTCAACAACAACCAAGCAAGCCACTGGTAGCACAAACGATGATCTGGAAGTGGGACTGTGTGTCCTGCTTCGCTTGCTCTGGGGCGAACGAGAATCCACCAAGTCGTCTGAGGGCGTCGAATTCTGGGACTTTTGAACCCTTTGAAGATGCGCCGCCTCCATGCTATCCGAGGAATCACAGCTGTGCCAGTCCAAAGCTTCAGGCGATCTGCCAGACTTTGGACCAAGCTCTTTCTGAGTGCCATCTAAACTGTTCGGAGTTGCTGCTACCATACCTGGTACCGGAGTTGGGGCCGTGATCTCTGGCTGATCAGCTTGGGAAGATGAAGCTCCTGACACCTCTGCTGGCAGCAAGCTGGTGCTTGACGGCAAGGCTTGACCGATGGCATCCTCTGCTTCTTCGGCCCCTCTCGAACCTCCGCCAAGCCGTGAAACTCAATGTCCACAAAATCACAAGTTTGTCCACAATGTCCACAATTTGAAGTTTGCGAACGTTTTGAGTTTTGAAATTGATCCTCTACTCACGTCTGTAGCATGATTCCAGCATATTCCGGCAACATCAAAGCTGCATCTTGCCTGCGGCGCTCTCAAAACCATCGGCGGGTTGGGGTCTTCCAGAGTCCTCACGGAAACAAGCTTTAGCAGTCTGTAGCCTGAATCTTTAGCTGACCTCTCACTTAAACATAGAAATCAGGACATGACTTTAACATACTTTAACAATGCTTCCAGGTGCTGTTCGAGGCTAGCAATCAAGCTGACATGAATTCCAGACATGATTCAATTACAGGCTCTACGCATGATCTATCGAATTGCAATCCAAACACTGAAGTCGTACCAAAGCTGTTGAGATGTCCCTTATGTCCCCACCATTTCCCACCTCTGTCTCAGCATTGCCAGCGGAAATCTGTCGTGGCACTTCCTGTGATGTGGATTGCGGGTAGCCGCCGTAGCCCTTGAAATCAGAAAAGTCCTCAGAAGCATCCGAAAAACTCCACAGAACAAAAACCCATGACGGTTGTGAACCTGTCCAACAGCTTCGTTGCCAGTTCAGAAAGCAATCGAAACAATGACCCGTGTCTCTTACCCAACAACACGACAGGAAACTGATCAAAATGTTGGCAACACCTGGCAAACTTGTTGTGTTTCAAGAAGTATCCGCATCCAAATGTTCCTTCGATTCAAACCGTAAATTTCCGTAAATCCAATTCCAACATATTCTCAGTATTCCTGCTAGCTTTGCATTTCTCAGAACATCGTAGAACACCAAATGTCTAGTTTTATTACAGCGAATCCCTAGCAGCACCTGCTGCCAGGTGTCAGGAGTGTCAGGGGTGTCAGGGGTGTCTGGGGCAGAAGCTTGCTGTGATGGAGCACTTGCATTTGCTCGGAGAGCTTGGAGACTCCCAATCTCTATCTTCGAGGTTGAGCTCACGTCCAGCATACCGACCTGTGCTTTTCAATGCGAATCCAAACGCAAATTTGCTGTAAAAATGTCTCATTGTCTCTGATCGTTTCTGATCGTTTCTGATGCTGGAAAACTGTAGCGCAATATTCGTTATAGTCACTGAAAGTTTCACGCGCTGCAGCCGAGAATCCTTCCCTTGGCTGACCCCCTTCAGTGGCGTGGGTCCTTTCGCTGCCCCTTCGTTGGGTGACTTCTCAGGCGAACTAGCAGGTTTGGGAGATTCCGCCGGTTTGGGCAATTCAGATTTGGGAGACTCCGGCCTTGGAGAAAATGCTTTGGAAGCAGAAGCTTCGCTTGGCTTGGGCGATTGCGACAAATCCGAGCCCGGTTCAGAAGGCTTTGCAGCTTTTGCTTTCAGCAAGTCGAGCTGTGTGTTATCGGATAAAGGACGAGGCTGGCTGTCACGTCCTCTGTCAGGTAGACGTGTCTGTATTGGAAGCACCGGGCCAGCGCTTTCCTTGTCAGTGCTTCCAACTCCAGAAAAGCCTTGGCTGAGAAGGCTCAGGAAAAAAACCGTCTTCCAGCCTGTATAAAGCAGCTGAAAGAATTCTCTCAGAGTCACAAAGGGTGTGCTTTGCTTCAGCACTGCAAAGCAACAAACATATCATCATTGGCACTGCCCACGGATCAATATGTAGTATTTGAGAGTACCGGTACTGTAGACATGCATCACATGCGTTACGTCAGTGAGTTGTGATGATAGGTGCAAGATGGTACAAGGGCATACCGGCCTACCCCTGTAGTCCAAACCCGGCGGCGAATACTCCAAAACCTCAACAAATGTGGAACAAGTCTGGCCGAAGCAACTGCTGCATCGGGGTTGCATAGCTTGGCCAGGGCTTGTGACCCCATCCAAAACAGCCTCCGGCAAATCCTCAACTCCCACCTTGGTTGCATGAAACGCCATTGACATCAACGTGTTAGGCAACTTGAGAGGGGGAACACGAAAGGTAGGTGATCAAGAAGGGGAAGCAAAGCCTCTCTGTGTAAAAGTTGGCTGTGTATAGCACCAACTCAAGGTAGCAAAACTCAAGGTAGCACCACTGGAGCTACCTTTCGTGACATGTTCTTTCAAGATCTTTCAATTATCCTCAAGAATCAAGTGTTTGTGCAGGGGGCAGAAATAGCAAGTATCCAGGCGCCAACCCGTCACTCAAAATCCAGCAGAATTTCCTGAAATCTCCTTGCAGAATGTTGGCATTTGAAAAGGAACAAGCTCAACAACAACCAAGCAAGCCACTGGTAGCACAAACGATGATCTGGAAGTGGGACTGTGTGTCCTGCTTCGCTTGCTCTGGGGCGAACGAGAATCCACCAAGTCGTCTGAGGGCGTTGAATTCTGGGACTTTTGAACCCTTTGAAGATGCGCCGCCTCCATGCTATCCGAGGAATCACAGCTGTGCCAGTCCAAAGCTTCAGGCGATCTGCCAGACTTTGGACCAAGCTCTTTCTGAGTGCCATCTAAACTGTTCGGAGTTGCTGCTACCATACCTGGTACCGGAGTTGGGACCGTGATCTCTGGCTGATCAGCTTGGGAAGATGAAGCTCCTGACACCTCTGCCGGCAGCAAGCTGGTGCTTGACGGCAAGGCTTGACCGATGGCATCCTGTGCTTCTTCGGCCCCTCTCGAACCTCCGCCAAGCCATGAAACTCAACGTCCACAAAATCACAAGTTTGTCCACAATGTCCAAAAGTTGGTGGGAGATCCCGAAAAGCCATGAATCTGATATCGGCATGACACATGAAGGAATCTTACGCCTCCTACGTCTCCCACCAGAAGCACCCTGCCTTCGGCCACTTTTGGTTGAGTTCCGAAGGACACCTGCGAGAAGGGTCAAAGGCTCACTTAGGACGACTTTTTCACTCACTTAGGACGACATTTTGAGATGCGGACTTCGACCTTCAGGGTTAACCACATTGGATACAGACCTTTTAGGGTAACACTTGGGGACGCGGACTCTTCTTCAAGTAACTTGCCAGATGTTTCTGATACGTTGTAACATTTTCTTCAAGTGACTTTCAACACGTTCCTGATATGTTGTAAAATCTTCTGCAAGTACAGTAACTTGCAAGACGTTCCTGATACGTTGTAAAATCTTCTGCAAGTAACTTGCAAGATGTTCCTGACACGTTGTCACATCTTCATCAAGTCACTTGAAACACGTTCCTGATACGTTGTAACATCTCCTTCAGCATATGATTCAATGATAATGTCCTGATGATCATCTCTGTCACACATGCACAAGCCTCTTGAAATCATGTTCAAACACATCGATATATCTTTCTATTGAGATTGTAGCCATATATATCACTGACGTAGTCCTAAGCGAGAAAAAACGTAGGCCTAAGCGAGGTACTGACCTGCGCGAAGCAACTCCTACAATCCTTGTGATGCAAACCTTTGCACCTGACGTTTGCCCATCAAAAAAACTATATCCTTGAGATCCATATCCCTTGTGCAAGCTTGAGCTTGATGATGCTCCAAGGTTTCATAAGCTTTCGGCAGCTGTGCTGGAGAAGGGTGAGAAGATGTGAGAAGGGAGAAAGGCCCAACAAAGATAACAAGGACCCAACACTCCACAGAGTGGGTCCACAGAAGCGCCTGCGCAGTTGCGCTTTCTCTGAAGGAAATGCTTCCGCTGGCAGGTGACCCTTCCTGCACGAAGTTCCGCTGTGAAAAAATGTGAAAACGATTAGAAACATCTGAAAAAACGACCCGCGCAAGAAACTCAGCCAACCCGACGGGGTCGAAACCAACAGTCACCAACAGTCACCAACGGTCACCAACAGTGACCGCATTCTTTGCAAACCTGGAAGTGTTAGCACTGGCCACAAAAGAGAACTGTGTTCGGCCCGTCCTCCTCACAATTTGAGCCACTTGGAAATCCAGCCGCTTTAGAGCCTAGCTGTCTCCAATTCTGCTTTACACATGAGATTCTCACACTGCTTTGAAACATGATTGAAACGGCAATTGCTAGCCACTTGGTAGCTGCCATGTTGTCAAATGTGTATAAATTCGTCAGGAAACCTGCATGTCGGGGTTGCATGGCCCGGCCAGGACTTGTAACGCCATCCCAAACAGTCTCAGGCAGATCCTCAAGGCCCACCTCGGCTTCAAACTCATGAAGACGTCTAGCCAAAGTTACCATGGTTGACTAACGCTTCAAGGACATACGGTTGACATACGTCTTCAAGGCAAAAGATGAAAAGGGATCTTATGGTAGTATAATATCAATTCCCTGCGCTTGGTGCCTCTAAACACCGCGGAAGGGCAAGGGCAAGAACCAAACCAAACAAAAAGAACATGAAAAGTGCCATACCCCAAATTTGCACGCACAGCCCGAAGTGAAATCATGTCAAAACCCTGCAAAATGACAAGCCGCCAAAAGCGGCAAGGACATTCTGATGCCCTTGTGCTGAGGCGAACGAGAATCCACCAAGTCGTCTGAGGGCGTCGAATTCTGGGACTTCTGAACCCTTTGAAGATGCGCCGCCTCCATGCTATCCGAGGAATCACAGCTGTGCCAGTCCAAAGCTTCAGGCGATCTGCCAGACTTTGGGCCAAGCTCTTTCTGAGTGCCATCTAAACTGTTCACCATACCTGGTACCAGAGTTGGGACCGTGATCTCTGGCTGATCAGCTTGGGAAGATGAAGCTCCTGACACCTCTGCCAGCAGCAAGCTGGTGCTTGACGGCAAGGCTTGACCGATGGCATCCTCCGCTTCTTCGGCCCCTCTCGAACCTCCGCCAAGCCGTGAAACTCAATGTCCACAAAATCACAAGTTTGTCCACAATGTCCACAATTTGAAGTTTGCGAACGTTTTGAGTTTTGAAATTGATCCTCTATTCACGTCTATAACATGATTCCAGCATATTCCAGCAACATCAAAGCTGCATCTTGCCTGCGGCTCTCTCAAAACCATCGGCGGGTTGGGGTCTTCCAGAGTCCTCACGACCAATGTGCAAGTACAAAGCACAAAGTTTAGTTCAAAACATGCCGCCCCTGCCCAGTGCAAATGAGCCAAACCAATGAACCACATCTTTGGATCTACGAAATTCGTCTCAAAGTTGAAAATCACAAGTTCTCTTGCCGTCCCAGATCATGTTCCCTGTCACTCAGACACTGCATCACTCAATTCCAAATCACACTTAGACAAATATCAAAGCCCTGCTTTGCCTAGACTCTAGACGATGGCTAAATGATGCTAAGTCTGTCCCTGTCGCATAAGATTCTCCAGTTTAGCACAATCGTTTTCGACTCACCATCCAACCTCAACAGCATCGCTGCCAGCTCCAAGATTGCCTTCGCCTCTTTCAAGTGACGCGGGCGGAGTTCTCCACCAAGCATCAGAAGAGTCCTCAGAAAAAGCTCACACATATCGACTCACATCAACTGATCACTGATCTCTGTCACGAATCTATGGCAGATTGGTAACTGCAAATAACAATTTACTCATGGCCATGATGATATCATGATCACTTCATGATCACTTGCCTTTTGCCAATCCATTCCACTGATGTTTTTTGTGCCGCCAGGTGTCTGCAACGGCATCTTGCTGTGATTCCAGCCAGTGAACCCTGGGTGCGTTCTCTTGCATCTGGGCGTTTGCCGTTGGGGGTCCATCTTGCCATCCAACCTGCAATTCTTTGAACTTGCAGCCCAAAGTAGAAAGTACAAAGCACAAAGATTAGTTCAAAACATGCCGCCCCTGCCCAGTGCAAATGAGCCAAACCAATGAACCACATCTTTAGATCTACGAAATTCGTCTCAAAGTTGAAAATCACAAGGTCTCTTGCCGTCCCAGATCATGTTCCCTGTCACTCAGACACTGCATCACTCAATTCCAAATCACACTTAGACAAATATCAAAGCCCTGCTTTGCCTAGACTCTAGACGATGGCTAAATGATGCTAAGTCTGCCCCTGTCGCATAAGATTCTCCAGTTTAGCACAATCGTTTTCGACTCACCATCCAACCTCAACAGCATCGCTGCCAGCTCCAAGATTGCCTTCGTCTCTTTCAAGTGACGCGGGCGGAGTTCTCCACCAAGCATCAGAAGAGTCCTCAGAACTAGCTCACACATATCGACTCACATCAACTGATCACTGATCTCTGTCACGAATCTATGGCAGATTGGTAACTGCAAATAACAATTTACTCATGGCCATGATGATATCATGATCACTTCATGATCACTTGCCTTTTGCCAATCCATTCCACTGACTTTTTTTGTGCCGCCAGGTGTCTGCAACGGCATCTTGCTGTGATTCCAGCCAGTGAACCCTGGGTGCGTTCTCTTGCATCTGGGTGTTTGCCGTTGGGGGTCCATCTTGCCATCCAACCTGCAATTCTTTGAACTTGCAGCCCAAAGTAGAAAGTACAAAGCACAAAGATTAGTTCAAAACATACCGCCCCTGCCCAGTGCAAATGAGCCAAACCAATGAACCACATCTTTAGATCTACGAAAGCCGTCTCAAAGTTGAAAATCACAAGGTCTCTTGCCGTCCCAGATCATGTTCCCTGTCACTCAGACACTGCATCACTCAATTCCAAATCACACTTAGACAAATATCAAAGCCCTGCTTTGCCTAGACTCTAGACGATGGCAAAATTGGTGCTAAGTCTGTCATAAGATTCTCCAGTTTAGCACAATTGTTTTCGACTCACCATCCAACCTCAACAGCATCGCTGCCAGCTCCAAGATTGCCTTCGCCTCTTTCAAGTGACGCGGGCGGAGTTCTCCACCAAGCATCAGAAGGGTCCTCAGAACTAGCTCACACATATCGACTCACATCAACTGATCACTGATCTCTGTCACGAACCTATGGCAGATTGGTAACTGCAAATAACAATTCAGAGAGCGTGCAGAAAGGCACGAATTTGATTCTGGCAAAGGCACCCACTTGCGGCCACTTGCGGCCACTTGCTCTGGCGGCCACTTGCGGCCACTCGATTGGCTGCACGTGGCTGCAAGTGGTTGCCGATGAAAAAAAAATGCTAAAACCACTTGCGGCCACTTGCGGCCATTCGAGTGGCTGCAAGTGGCTGCAAGTGGCTGCCGGTGACAAGAGAATGCTGGCGGCCACTTGCGGCCACTTGCGGCCACTCGAGTGGCTGCAAGTGACTGCAAGTGGCTGCCGGTGACAAGAGAATGCTGGCGGCCACTTGCGGCCACTTGCGGCCACTTGCGGCCACTTGCGGCCACTCGAGTGGCTGCAAGTGGCTGCAAGTGGCTGCAAGTGGCTGCAAGTGGCTGCCCCGGTGACAAGAGAATTCTGGCGGCCACTTGCGGCCACTTGCGGCCACTCGAGTGGCTGCAAGTGGCTGCGAGCGGCTGCCGATGAGAAGAAAATGCTGGTGGCCACTGGTGGCCACTCGATTGGCCGCAAGTGGGTGCAAGTGGCTGCCGATGAGAAGAGAATGATGGCGGCCACTAGCGGCCACTGGCGGCCACTGGCGACCACTCGAGTG